GGCAATACAAAAACCTTATATTTGGTTATTGATCTCCTATAAAAAAAAAAAAAAAAAAAAAAAAAAAAATCAAATTCAAAACACTATTCAGATTTTGCTTAGATTTTGTTCGGATTTTTATTATGGAAAATGCCATTTTTTAAAATAATAATTTGAACAAAATCTGAATAGAATTTTGACTTTTTTTTATATAGTCCACAACTTAAATAGCAGTACAAGAATCTCTTATTGTAAATAGGCTCCATGGCTGTAAGGACCTCATGTTGTGATTAGGCTCTATAGTTACCACAGGCAGTAAAGAACCTCATGATTGGTGATTATGCTCCATAACAACAATAAAAGTACAAGGACTTTAATTGTAATTAGACTCCGTGGTTGCAAGAATTCATGTTGTGATTAGGCTCTATGGCTGCCGCAGGCAGTACAAGAGCCTCATATTTGGTAATTAAATACCGTAACCATGATAGCAGTGCAAGGATCTCAAACTGTGTTTAGACTCTGTGAATGCAAGGATCTTATGTTGTGATTAGGCTTTATGGCTGCCACAGGCAATGCAAAAACTTTATTAATGGTAACTAGGTGCTTGAGTTGCATAAAGGGAGTTAGAGATGGGTGTACTATATCTGATATTACATTATACAATGCAAGAACTTTATATTGTGATTAGGCTCCATGGTTGCGATAGTATTGCAAGGACCTCATATTGTGATTAGGCTCTATAGCTGCCACAGGCAATGCAGGAACATTATGTTTGGTGATTTAGCTCCCCTATAAAAAAAAAAGGTCGAAATTCTATTCAAATTTTTATTACAGAAAATGCTCATTATTTAAAATAATAATCTAAACAAAATTTGAATAGAATATTGATTTTTTTATAGGATCCAAAACTATGATAGTAGTACAAGGATCTCGTATTAGGCTCCGTGGTTGCGTAGCAATATAAGAACCTCATGTTGTGTCTAGGCCTTATGGCTGCTAAGGGATGGGTTCGGACGCAAACAGCTACAATTATTCAAAGACAATTTTCTAAATATTGCAAAGTTTTTTCTTTTTGAGCTTTTAATTAAAGTTGTTCAGAATTAAATTCTGTTCATACCATTTTTTAAGTGGAAAGAACGAAACTTTCTCTGAAACTAAGAATTTTAAAATTTTTTAACGTCATAGCCGATTAATAACTGGTTATAATGTTAACAAATTTTGAAATTCTGAGTTCCGGAGAAAGTATTGTTTTTTTCACTTATGAGATGAACAGAATTTAATTCTTAACAACTTTAATTAAAAGCTCAAAAAGAAAAAAATCATCTCAGTATTTAGAAGTCAACTATGAATAATTATATCCATCCATAACCGAACGCAACCCTAATGGCTACCATGAGTAGTGAAGAACCTTATATTTGGTGATTAAATATTGCAACTATAATAGCAGTACAAGCCCCATGTCTACTATATTAATGCAAAGACCCATATTGTGATTAGACTCTATGGCTGCCACAGGCTGTGCAAGGATTTCATGTTTAGTGATTAAGCAAGGATCTCATGTTGTAATTAGGCTCTGTGGCTACAATAGCAATGCAAGAACTTTATATTGGGATTAGACTCTATGGCTGCTGCAGGCAGTGCAAGAACATTATATTTGGTGATTAAGCACTATAATTATGATAGCAGTGCAAGAACCTCACATTGTGATTAGTCTCTGTGGCTGTGATCAGTGTTCGAAATTTCAGAGTCAATTACTGTTCTCATGAGAACAGTATAATGGCTATGAGTGTTCTCAAATTGTTATTAGTATTTTCACTTATATTTACTAAAAAAAAAAAAATCCCTAAGCTAATAATATGAATTTAGGTCAAATCAGATTTTTGAAAGAACATAATACCACCATAGTTAGTCAGCACTAGCTATAATACTAACTAATTTAGTCGCTATTATGTTCTTTGGATAATCTGTTGGTCGAAATTTTGATACAAAATCTAATAAAATTACTTTTATTATATTTATTATATTAATAAAAAAGTTAAAAACCAACTATATATATATAGCATCTTTTATATTAATTTTTTATCAATTATTTAACCTATAATTTTTCTAGTTACTTACTATTTAATTTTCTTTCTTTTTAATTATGCTTACCTGACAAATTGAATAAATATAATTTATAATAGTATTAAATGCATTATGTAATAGTAAATTAAAAACCTACTTTAATATATAGTAAATGTTCTTTAATTTAAGTAGCTTATTTAAAAAATACTAATTAATAAACTTATCAATGAATTATACTTATTTAAAAAATTAATTAATAGATATATAACTTTTATATTATAACTAATTAATCAAATAAGTTGCTGCGTGACATTGTCACGCTAAACTAGAAACCAATAAATATAAGCTTAATTTTTTTTTTTTTTTTTTGATATTAATGGTGAGACCTTGCTCTTATCTTTATTAAACTTAATTAAAATTTTTTACAAAATCAGAAAAAATCTGCTGCTTAAATCTAATGCTAAGTATAAGAACTCAGACATATATCCAGGTAAACCTGAATACTTATCTGTGGCCTAAACCAACTAGAGTGGCCAAGGCTCACCTAGGTTTCAGAAGAGATGAAGATTTGTGAGGGGTGTGTTTGATATTTGATCCAGTTAGTATACCATTTATTAACTTTGGAGAGTGGAAATACTGTTAGGTTGGTGTTTTGTTGGGATGGAGTATGTGGTACTAGTAGAGTATGTGGTAGGAAGCTAGAGGGTGGGGCTACTTGTTGGATCTGTGATCTTGCTATACAGTAGGGGATCCATATTGTCGTATATACTTGTTGATTGATTTTGAGAAACAGTTTAATCACAAGAGACTTAGCCGTGTTAGAGGAGGAAGTATACTCTTTTAGTATATTAATAATATCGAGTGGAATGAAGCCTGAGAGTGTTGAAAACAGAGATGGTTTATGAGTGAAATTATGGGCTTGGAGACTGTCCAGGTTTCTAACTAGGAAGTGAAGCTGATTTGTTTGCATTTGTGTTATTTCGAGCTTGTTGCAGCTGAGTGTATCCTGGAGTGAGTTTTGAATTATCTCGAATAGGGGTTCAGGAGAGGGGTAGATTGCCCAGTGTAGACTTGTACTCTCTTCCTGACATATATGGCACTTTAGGGGGTGAGATGGCATATGATCTACAAACATAGTGAAGATCATATATTAATTTCATAATATAGGTTTTTTTGTCGATCATTCTTCTTAATAGCAAAAATATATAAAATTTCAAATTGAAATAACTCCCAAGTTACTTAAGAGATGTAAGCAAAATTATATTTATTAGATTCCTCTTAACATTCTTATTAAAGTAATAGAGCTCTTTTTTTATTTTTCATATAAGTTAAAGCGAAAACTAATTACTAAAACACGATTAATTTTATAGAAATAAAAAAAAGGGCTCTATTACTTTAAAGATAATGTTAAGAATAATCCAATAAAAGTAATTTACTTGCATATTTTCAGTAGTTCAAAAAGTTATTAGAGTTTAAATTTTATATCGGTATGTTTTTACTATCGATGATCATCAATCACAAATCAGCCAATCATGATTGTTCCAAATATAGCATATATATATTAGGACTAGCTGCAAAAATTTTTTAACTTTAACACTTTAACGCTAATATATTTGGGCCAAAGCTACTAGTCATGAATATTTCTTAATCATAATGTGTTTGGACCAGAATTATTAGTCATGAAAGTTTTTTAATTTATTGGAGCCGGAACTATATTTAATTTATTGGAGCCGGAACTATACATAATTTATTGGAGCCGGAACTATATTTAATTTTAATTTGTTGGGTCAGAACTATTTATTCACAATGTTTTTTTTTATTTAATTGAAACCAAAGCTATTACTTACAATGGTTTTTAATTGGGGTTAGAGCTATCATGCAAAGTGATATTTTTATTTAATTAGGGTCAGAACTATTGATCGTAAAAGTTTTTTTTATTTAATTTGAGCCAGAGCTGGTATTCACAATTATTTTTTTTATTTAATTAAGGCAGAACTATTACTTTTTATAGCTTTTTATTTAATTAGAATTAGAACTATGTTACGAAGAGGGTCGGAACTATTATTTATTATTTAATTGGGACCAGATCTATTAGCCACGAAGGTTTTTGTTTAATTTTAATTTATTGAGACCAGAACTATTATCCACGATAATTTTTTTTATTTAGTTAGAACCAGAACTATTATTCATACACGTAATTTTTTATTTAATTGGGTCAGAACTATTACTTATGGTAATTTTTTTATTTAATTTTAATTTATTGGGCCAGAACTATTACTCACGATGATTTTTTTATTTAATTTTAATTATTGGAGCCAGAACTATTTACTCACGATAATTTTTTATTTAATTTCAATTTATTTGGGCCAGAGCTATTTACTCATGATGATGTTTTAATTAATTTGGACAAAAACTATTACTTACGACTATTTTTCTTGACTAAAATTATTACTTATAATTATTTTTTTATTTATTGGATTCAGAACTATTATTTATAATGATTTTTTTACTTAATTGGAACCAGAACTATTACTCACGATAATTTTTATTTAATTGGAGCCAGAGCCATTATTAGCGATGATTTCTTTTATTTAATTGGGCCAGGCTATTATTTATGATAATTTTTTATTTAATTGGGACCAGAACTACAGTATTACTTATAGTTATTATTTTATTTATTTAGAGTCATAACTATTACTTATGAAGGTATTTAATTTGTTAGGATTGGGATTTTTATTTATGATAATTTTTTATTTTATCAGGGCCAGAACTATTAGTTATAAAGTTTTTTTTAAAGAATCTTATTGTAAAGTATTATTTTGCTTATAATAAAATTTATTTACCTAAAATAGTCATTATTAAAATGTAAACATGTAAACAAAGTATTTTATTGGCTTATTTTTATATAAATAAATTATAAATTTTAAAATCATTTATTTTTTATTTTTACTATTAAAATGTTGCCCAAAAAGCGAAATACTCATTTAAAAAAAGCTCGACAGGCAAAAAAGTTAAAATATTTCAACAAATCTGAGTCCTCTGTAGTAACAAATAATAATAACATTGAAGTAGAATCAGAATTAATATTAAACCAAAATTTTAATACATTAAATACTGCAATATATATTCCTTATGATTTGTCTGAGTCTGAATCTAATGAGTCTGAATCTGATGAGTCTGAATCTAATGAGTCTGAATCTAATGAGTCTGAATCTAATGAGTCTGGATTAGAATCTGAGAATTTATTTCAAGAATTACAATATTCAACTAAATTAGAATTTAAATTGCGACAAGAATTACATTCAAAAGTAAATAGTATTTCTCAGCATCAGCTTTCAAGAGCAATTTATATGTTAAATAATATGATTTATACAAAAGGAAAATATCAAGGAGAACTTATTTCAGAGTATTGTCAAAAAAAGATTTTAAAATTATTAGACAATTTTTTATATAAACATGAATCAGATGCAATATCTTTAACTCAAAAAATGAAAAAATTAGAAAAAGAAAATCAAAAATTTCAAAGAGAATTAGAAGAATCAAAAAAGCAAATAAGATCACTTAAAATAGCTATAGCAAGTAAAGATAAAACAAAAGCTCAACATATTTCAAAAATTAGATCTGCAATTCAAAAAGCTAAAAAAATAACACCAGAAAATTTTAAAAAATCAGCTAAAAAGCTTTTTAAATTTAAAAATGAGTATTCAGCACAGTTTTTACAAATGGCTACAGAAATTAGTAATTTAGGACAAATTTCTTTAAAATCAACAGTAGTGTGCACTAAAAAATTTTATGAATTTATTACTGGAGAAGAACCAGAAAAATGGATTAATATACATACACTATCAAGATGGAATAAAGAAGTTGCAGCTCTTCAACTTGATTCAAATAAACCTAAATCATATAATATTTCTAATTATGGTTATGGTCTATTAGTAGATGAAAGCAAAAGAGGAGAAAGAAAAATTTTAATAGTTGCTACATCTTTTTGGAATATTGAAACAAACTATCCTATGTTTAGTATATTAGGAGTTGATGATTTAATACATTGCAATTCCAATACTGTTGCAACTAGTGTTACAAAAATTTGCAATAATAATAACATTGATTTTAAAAGATGTATATTTTGGTTAACAGACAATACATCATATATGTCTTCAAATAAAAATGGTGCTGTTGTAAAATTTAATACTTTAAACCAATCTACATCTTTTAGAATTCCATGTGCACTACATGCAACACAAATTGCTTTAATGAATTTTGAAAATAATGCATTTGGAAAAATAGATGGCCCTAAAGGATCTTATAAAGAACATCCATTTAATCTTATTAATTTAGCTTTTAAAATTCATAATGGACATAGTACAACTGATAAAGATAATCCAATGAATTTAAGATCTGAACATATTCACAAACTATATGAAAAACTTTTAAATTATACATTTAGCAAATATCAACAACCGATTATAACAAGATGGAAATATCAATTGATTACAGCTCAACAACATTTATCTAGACAAGATGCACATATTAAATTTTGTAATTGGTTTCTTCCACAACTTGAATCAATTAAAAATGTTCCAAAAACTTATATATCTCAATGGAAATTATTTAATGAATGGTTACAAAATAAGAAATTAAATATTCAAATCAAATGTCTTGTAAAATTTGGTACTGAATTTTATTTTCCTATTTATGAATTTGTAACACAATATGATCCAACTCCTAGAATTTATACAGAGCAAAAAATAGAAAACCTTCCTGCCGGTTATAGAGCTCATGAAATGCCTGATGCTGTATTAAAATGGATTGAAGATATAAAAAATGCACAAGAAAATATAGCAGAATTATTTGAAGAAGAACTTGAAGAAGCAAATTTTTATTTAAATATTGAAGAATATCAAGAACTTTATATATCTTTAGAATCTGGCTTAAAAAATGCATATGAAGGATTTTGTAAATGGATGTCACCATGGATACATTTACCACTACTTGTTTGCACATTAGGAGGCTCAAATGGATCATTATTTGCAAGTGCATTTCTTAAAGTATATACTAATACTGAATTGCAAGAATCTCAATCTCAATCTAATATAGAATTAAATTATATTGAGATTCTAAATAATGACAAAAAAGAAGGATTATCTAATACTTGGGGATTATTAGAAGCATTTGAAAATTTAGAATTTAAAAAAGAATTTATAGAATATGCAAACTCACCTGATATAATGCTTTATAATTTTCCATTAATATATAACTTTGTAAAATACCGAATTTGGAGTATTGTCATTCATCAACAACAGCTTGAAGGAATGTTTAATCGATATGATCTGAAAGTAAATCCAAGTATGAGTATGAATTTACAAGAATCAAGACTTGTTCTTGCAGCACCTACTCAAAAAATACAACCACAACCAGTTACAACATCTAAAATTAAAGAAATTCGTGAAAAATTAAAAGATAAAAAGATATCAAATTATGAAGATAAAAATACAAAACAAGATGAAAATACCGGAACAGAAGCAGCTAAGTCATTATTAAATTCTTTATTAAATAAGACTAATAATTCTGGTCTTAATTAAATAAAAACATTATCATGAACAATATTTCTGGCCCAAATTAAATAAAATTTATCGTAAATAATAGTTCTGGCCCCAATAAATAAATAAAACCATTATAATAGTTCTGGCCTCAGTTAAATAAAAAATCATCATAAATAATAGTTTTGCCCCCACTTAAATAAAAAATATTATAGGTAATCGTTTCGGCCCTAATTAAATAAAAAAATCATCGTGAGTAATAGTTCTGGCCCAATAAATTAAAATTAAATAAAGAATCGTAATGAGTAATAATTTTTACCCCATTAAATAAAAAACCATTGTGAATAATAGTTCTGGCCTCACTTAAATAAGAAAATCGTCATGAGTAATAGCTCTGACCCTAATAAAAAAAAATAATTGTGAGTAATAGTTCTAGCTCAATAAATTAAAATTAAATAAAGAATCATAATAGGTAATAGTTTTTACCCCAATTAAATAAAAAATCATCGTGAATAATAGTTCTGGTCCTCTTAAGTAAAAAAATCATCGTGAGTAATAGTTCTGGCCTTAATTAAATAAAAAAATCTTCATGAGTAATAGTTCTGGCCCAATAGATTAAAATTAAATAAAGTATCGTAATAAGTAATAGTTTTTACCCAAATAATTCTGGCCCCACTTAAATAAAAAATCATCGTAAGTAATAGTTCTAGCCTTAATTAAATAAAAAAAAATTATCGTGAGTAATAGTTCTGGCCCAATAAATTAAAATTAAATAATGAGTAATAGTTTTTACCCCAATTAAATAAAAATCATCGTAAACAATAGTTTTGTCTCCACTTAAAAAAAATTATCGTGAGTAATAGTTTTGGCCCCAATTAAATAAAAAAATCATCGTAATAGTTCTGGCCCAATTAAATAAAAAATCATTCGTGAATAATATCTAATAAATTAAAATTAAATAAAAAATCATTGTTAGAAATAGTTCTGGTTACATTAAATAAAAAAATAATTATGAGTAATAGTTCTAGCCTTAATTAAATAAAAAATCATTGTAATAGTTTTAGCCTCAATAAATTAAAATTAAATAAATAAACCTTCGTGACTGATAGTTCTAGCCCGAATTAAATAAAAAAATCATTGTGTGTAATAGTTCTGGCCCAAGTTAAGTAAAAAAATCATCGCATATGAAAGGTTTAACTACAATAAGTCAAAATCAAATAAAAAAAAAATCTTCGTAGCTAATATTCTGACAATTAAATAAAAAAAATTATCGTTGGTAATAGTTCTGGCCTCAATTAAATAAAAAATTCTTCGTGACTAAGAGTTCAGGCACTAATATTTCAAAATCAACTAAAAAAATCTTTGATAGTTTTGGCTCAAATAAAGTTAGTATTAAAAAAATTTTACAACTGAATTAAACGATCAAAAAGATCCAGTACTGTATTATCGGAAATATCGGAAATATCGGATCTCTGACTGCAGATCATGCAGATCATCGGAAAAATCTTGATTAGTAAAAATTACTATGTGATCTTCACTATGTTTGTATTTGTTATGCTATCTCACCCCCTAATGGCACTTGTTGGTAAGTGTGGGATTTCTTTTGTGAAGAATATGAGGTGCTGGTAGTTCATCTAATAGTAGTTTTACTCTGAAAGATTTATATGTGGAGGATTGGAAGCTGTGTGAGTAGTTAGAAGTTTTCTGGTTGTTGTTAAGGTATAGCCAAGTGGCTTGCCAGTGGATTTGTGAAAAAATTTGTGCCCATTTTTGAATGCAGTTTTGTGAGGACCAGGTGGCGAAAATGTGTGCTTGTTGTATTGTTCTAATGCTGTGACGGAGGGGGAGTTCAATCAGAAAGTTGTCTGAATGCATCGTGTAGTGGGGTTGTAGATGTTGGAGGGATTAAATACAAGATGTGGTAAGAGCTGGTGGTCTCTTGCAAGTTGGTTAGCCATGTTGTTGAATGTATCATCTTGGTGAGCAGTGACTTTGTGAAAAATGATGTTGAGTTTGTAGGACTATAAGAAATTCGATAGAGTGTTCCAGATTGACCAATAGGGTGTTTTTGTTGCATGCAGTAAAAGAGATTGGTGTGATAAGTTGTTGAACTTTGAAATAACTGATTGGGAGTCTGTAAAGATATGTATAGTACAATTTCTTGGGGCTGTACAGATAGCTGATAAGATTGAAATGAGTTCAGCTTTGAACGAGCATGGCCATAGTTCAATTTTTGCTTGGAATCTGTGTATTACTATTTGGTCTTGTATTTGTAGCCAGCCAATGCCCATAGAGCATTGGGTGCTACCGATATTAGTCACAGAGCCATCAGTATAAAAGGTGAGGTTAGATGCTTCCTGATTAGCATTAGCAATAGTTTGGAGAGTGTGAAAGGCTTCATTTGGTATAAAGATATTGGGGATTTGAGATTGTTGTATAATGATTGTGGGGGTTGGTGGTGCTAGAGTTGTGTTCAAAAGTAAGATCGAGTGTATTAGATCTTGATAGTTGGCGTGAAAGTTGATTGATTTGTCTGGGTTTATTCTGCCAAGAAACTTGGTTGCTCGGTTGGTAGGTATAAGAATAGTACATTTGTTAGAGATAATGTTCGTGTTAAGTGAGCAGTTGCTACAAGGTGAGGAGGTTGTAGGGGCAAGTGGATAAAGTTGTGATGAGTAGTTAAGGTCGTGGCACTGCCAGTGGGTTACTAAGGTGTAGCCAGATGTTGTTGATTGGCGACGGGCTTTGCCAATAACAAATTGATCATCGAGCAGGGAGATTAGCCAGGGTTTGGTGTGTTGGTAGAAGTGTCCTGTATTGTAGCAGTAATAATTAGTAGCTGGAAGGTTAAAATGTGAGTAGATCGTACATTGTGTAGGGTTGTGTATAGTGAGGTTTTCAAGTGTGGTGAACCATAGAGGTGTTTTGCCTTTTGGGATTTTGTTAAGTCTTGGTGAAATGTGTTTCCATTCTAGCAAGCATAAGTTGTTGAATATAGTTAGCTGGTCTAAAAAGAGTAAATGGTGATGCCATGTTTGTTTTTTAAAGATAGGGTATTTGGGGTGTGAGGCTAAAATTAATTTGAGAAGAACTGTGCCTTTTTGTATTGTAAATAGGATAGGGATGTTAGGATTAATATTGATTGTCCAGTTTATATGTCTAAAAAGTTGTATAATTTTAAAGTTGGTCATATTTTTGTTTGGGCCTTCAATAGTAGAATTGGGATGGCTGAATATGTTTGTAGTGGACCATAGGTTGTTTTGTAGCTGCTGAATTTGGATAAGTATTGAAATGCCGAGTAGCTCTGTATTGTTAAGCTATTTGATAAAGTTGGGGATGTGGTGTTGAAGCTAGATATCCTAAATGTTTTTGATATTGTAGATCTGGGGGTGCAGTAGTGTACTTGTAGGAATAGTGTGACTAAGTTTGGCTTTATACTTGACTAGGCCTATGTGACATGTAAGGATCTTGTTACATATTGACTGGTTGAGTACAATATTATGTAACCGGTACTCTATAGTAGGTATAATGACTATATTGATAATATAGTAGGCTCGAGTATTAGTAATACGTTTAGGGCTAATTGTCCGAATAAATTGTGATGATTCAGCAGCAATTTGTTATATTTGCTTTGATTGTTTGTTATCTAAAATAAACCAGCAGCCTAGGAATTTGAAGAGCTGGCTTGCTAGCTGAGGTACAAGTACTTGGTTGTTAAAACTAATAGGGCTATTAGGGTTGAAGGTAGTATTTGTTGAAAGAACAGATTTTGTAGGGTTTACTTTGATGTTGGCCATAGTATAAAAAGACTCTGCAATAGAAAGTAAGTTATTTAGTTCTGCTTGGGATGATGCTATCCATAAAGTGTCATCCATGTATGCCAGTACTGAGCATCTAGTCTTGAGTTGGTTAGTAGAAAGTTGTTTAAGGCTAGTAAACCA